AGGAGAAATGTCGTTTGGAACAGACGCTCGAACAGGAGCAGGAGTGTCTCGTAAATCGGCTTATGCGAAAAATCGAAAAACTCGAAGCGGAAACTTTGGCGAAACAAAGTAACCTGGAGCAGCTTCGGCGTGAGAAAGTAAGTGGTGATCTAGTTGCGTTTGGACTGGAATTTCGTTTTTTTAGGTCGAGCTGGAGAATACTTTAGAACAAGAACAAGAGGCTTTAGTTAACAAGTTATGGAAGCGTATGGATAAATTAGAAGCCGAGAAGAGGATGTTACAAATTAAGTTGGATCAGCCTGTGTCAGATCCTGCCAGTCCGCGTGATATTAGTAATGGAGACAAGGCAAGTAATCTTAGTGCTCATATTCAAACTTTGCGAAATGAAGTGAATAGACTTAGACAAACGTTAGCAATTAGTCAACAAGAACATGCTGAAAAAATGCAACGCTACGCTCAAGAGGAACGTTGTATTCGTGAAGAGAACCTTAGGTCAGCCTATACTGCTGAAATACTATTTTACTTAACTATGTTGTTAGGTTACAAAGAAAATTACAGCTCGAAGTGGAAAGACGAGAGGCTTTATGTAGGCATCTGTCTGAAAGTGAAAGTTCTCTCGAAATGGAAGAGGAACGACATTATAATGAACAAGTTTTAGGTACTCGCCAACATACCGTGTCTCCTGTTCCGTATAATCCATCTCCGAGTCAAAGTCGTCCTTTGAGTCCAGGTAATTTTTATTTAACCTAAATTTTCTTGTACATTTCATCGCTTTTCAGGATTAACATTGCAAGCTCCTTCGCCCCGCGACTCTTTGATAGCTGTCCAACCTCGCTGTCATTCATGCGGTCAGTCTGTAAGTTCGTTACATCAAGTTGGATCTAGTAGTCCTCCCGCTCCCGCGCATCGCCGTACCAGTGAACGATTTATTAAACCCGCCATACCTGCTCCGCAGCCTGCTAGTCCCATGGATACCTCGATCAATAAGGATTAAAGGTAGTTAACGATTAGACTGTATGAACGGTATCATCACTAAACAGAAAATAATATATGAACAATACCATTGTGCAACATGTTCTTCTATTTATATTAATCGTGGGATTTACTTTGGAGTGGAAAAAACGTCCATTAAGCGGGGTTTGCTTAGGATGAGCCTTGCACTTTTGACGAGCTTAATCTGTTCCACGTTCGTGAATAAAGATCGGGGAAATCAAAAGATTATCAGTGATACGTCTGTAAGTTTTAGGGCGGCCGTACACTAGTCGCATTTTGCAGTTAAGGTAACCACAGAATTGTGGTCACGTCGACTGCACTGCGCGGTTGACCCAACAACATTTTTGTGGTTGAGTTGCGGTCATATATGAACCGCACTTCAATTAAGGCACGCTTTTTCGGAATGTTTTTTATATCATTGGAATGTTTTTTCCATTCCGGAATTTTATCGGAATGCTACCTTTTTTTTTAAATGGGATTAATTCGGATGGGTGGGATCATTTTGTTGATGATGCACTTCCACTAAATTAAGCAAAATTTTTCTTTTACTTTTATTGTCTCGGTTGCTAATAACAAGTTATTTGAGTACATCCCACTTTTGATGTAAAAGTTAGAGGAGAGAAGGATAGGGGGTAGTGTACACCCCTTAATTAAACACTATACAATTTAAAATGGGCCTTTATTGCACAGTAACTTGATAGACTGCTCTAATTCTTGATCATGTGTGGGTTGCGTGCCTTCATGCCCTGGTAATTTCACGTAGAAATGTGTGGGTGTGCAATGATTCCAAAAAATGGGGCAGAAAGGAAATAAAAAAATGTTCAAGAGATACACCTTCATCTGAACTCTCTATAAGAGAGATCAGTTTTAATTATGAAGCAATACCTCGTACTGCCATGGGACCCCTAGTTGAAAACGTCCCTCTCTGATTTGCCTTCTTAGTCGATCTACATTTCGGCGCGCAGGTTGTAATGTATCTACCTAAGTGATTCATGGAGTGCAGTTTCTTTCGCTGTCACTACATGCCATAGTATAAAACTATATGTACACATTACACAAAGAATTAATCACGCCCCTATTTGATGCAATTGTTTATATTTCAGACTAGAACAAGTACACATCATTAACTTGAACAACATGAAATTAATAAATGGCTCTTGAATGGATAGCGTTAGTTAAATAAGTTTTATAGAGTATTAATCATTTTGCTACATATAAACTTGTGTTTACACTGGCTTTAATTTAAATTTTTGTTACTTTCACATATTCTTACTAAAAATGCACTTGAATTGTAATAATACAATTCGGAAAGTATCTATACAAAATCAAAAGGAAATAGTTGTGCACATTATGCTTTAGCTGGTATTACAGTACTTAAACATTGCAATAACATTGTAGCTGTGCATGATTTTTATTAAGTCTTATGTAATATTGTAACAGTGTTCCATACATGAAGTTTCTTGTAACAGTAAGAATTTGTATATGTATCAGATATTGCCAATAACATTTACTGCCACATAGCGGAAAACAATTTTTCTTCATTGCCGTCTCGACTATGAAACCCCCAGTATTACGCATGCACACTAAGAAATAACGAAACTAATGAAAGGCATGCAGGATGTTCTTTAAATGCAGCTTGCAGTATTTTGATTCACCGAATTTTCATGTCTGCTGTAATTATGTAACATCCTGGAACTGCTCAAAGGCCTGATTGTTAAATACTTGTTTGTTGGCAAGAATTGTTTTTCTTCGTTATAAGGCGCTTACGTTTACATAAGGTTCTCATTTTAGGAAATGTAAGGATCGGTCTGGTAGTTTTAACATAAAAAATTCTATCACTATTTTCCAACGCAGTTAAAAATGTATAATCAATAATCTAAAGTAGGTTTATAACGACAATGTAATTGTCAGATTTGCCAAATAAATAGTGTTTTATTAATAAACCACAGGACTTATTGTAAGTCTGCTTTCCTATGTATGAGAATTTTTTTGTTAAATTTGCTTAGGTCAATATGTATGTAAAAGATGCTCAGCTTTTCCTTTCATTAGAAAATCAAGTGTTAAATGCATTCTCTCGTTGTTTAACTCTCTCGGTAGAGTAAAATCTCAGTAATCCAACTTTGTGTAATTGCATGTGAAGGAGCTATTAGTGAGGTTTTACTGTACCTACGAAGAAACCAAAACCATTTGTAGCAATATATTTTGGGTTGAAATGTATTTTTGGCCGACATTGTTATTCTCCAAAAAACTGTCGTGAATTAGGACAGCAAAAAAAGTGATATTAGGTGTAAATTTTGCATTCTTGTTGGATCTTTGGCTGTGTTCTGTATGATTGTAGTTTCTTATTAATTATACAGTACATCGGATTTGCGCATTGCTATAATATGACTTGAAAATACAACAAGATTTAAATGTTCTGTATGTCTAATTTCAGTTGTCATATTGTATTGATGTAGTTACAGAATTGTTCTTTTGTTGTCTCCATGTTGTTACGTAGGGGTTATTTTTCTGTAGTTTAACTTAGAATTACAGTTTTATTTAATAATTATTAAAAGTACTGTCGCATATTGGTTTTCTTTCTATTTATGTAATTTTGAGTGATATTGCGATGCTGTATTGGTAGAAATAAAAGGTTTCAGCTATTTGTACAATTTAAGGTTGTGCCCTTATTTTTTTTTACTTGCTACAAGATGTACAAGATCTTCCAATAAATTTATTCCACAAATAAAATACATTTGGATCAATTTGTTTGTAGGACCTCAGAAACGAGAAGATGAGAGCCTAGTTTCCAGTCGGGGAAATTTAAGTACAATAAATCAAAATACATGTTAAGTAGGTTTTATTGTATTTAATAGCTCAGACTTATCGCCATTTTATATGGAAAAGAAAAAATTGTACTCGCTGTAAATTGAATTAAAAATGTGTGAAAGTAGATTTGCACTTCATAGCAGGAGCATGGTTCGAGTAATGGTGCTTCATATGGTATGGTGCTTTGTTAATCACGCTTAATAAAAGTTTGAAGTTAATTCTTTTTTTATATATACCCCTCCATTTTTATTAGCTTTTATATCATAAATGTATGTATGGTTCTTAAAAATAGAGGTACTACTATTATTATGCTTAGACAATTATTTACATCATAATGGTAAATATGGTACCGCTTTTTAAATGATGTGATTTTTATGACAAATGCGTCGGATAATTTGAATCCTGTGTGCCCATCTGAGGACCCAGCACGGGGGCAACTTCACTCGGACGAGTGTATTGTTTTTTGTTATTACGATCAAAATGCATCATTCGACATGGGTGTGCAAAACTTGCACCAATGGATACTGGTGTATCCATGCATTTGGACCACCCTGTACACAGATAGAAAAAAATAAAAAAACTCTCATTGCCACTATTTGAGCTATACAAGATAGATTTTCAATGCAACGTTTTGTTTTGGAGAAGTCATTCTCAAGCTTCGCGATGGATGTATTGTTATCCTTAGAGAAGATATGCCTAGCAGTCTCCCTCAGTTTAACAAATGAAAGACGCAAATTTAGTTTCACATCCAATTGAGAAGTGCCAGTTGCACTTTACTCGAGGAAAGTGTTCCTTATATGCATTGAGAGGCAGTATAGGACATCTTGTGTACCTATAATAGTTAGGTGTTGTAGCTACGCAATCTGATATCTCTTTTGCTTTAATTGTATCACCGTTCCTTGAAAAGCGTAAAAAACATATGAAACGTGAATGTAATTATTACACCTGGGTCATTGTTTAAATAATATTTAAACCTTTTAAACAATGCCTGGGTCAAATTGTTTTAAAACTGGCACTTCGCGCATTCTCATTGATAGAGAGTCAAATTTAGATTTAGGTGCCGACTCGATATTTAAAATTTCTGTTGTCGCCTTTTCCGTTTTTCAAAAATTACATGTAAAGATAAAGCTACCAAGACCACATTAAATATTGTAAATGAATCATAGCAGCAACAAAAACTAAAAAATTATCCGAGGGGTTAGCTCCCGCCAAACATTTTAAAATGACCGAAGTTTCAGTATTGCCAACAGTAGCAACCTGGTAATAAAAATAAACCTTTCTTTCCTGTAGTGTATTCAAGATGGTAAGTATTCGGTGAATTTTATTTTTCTTTAATCATCCGCGATATAATAACAATAACTCATAATTGTTTATAAAAAATAAATTCTTTGCTGTATTATTAAGAGCTTAATCGACGTATTTCTTGTCAACGTTTCGGAATACTTCGTAAAAAATGGTAGGATTTCATGCTGTTAAATTAAGGGTTATGCTAATTTTGAGCTTAAAATTTATAACAATTAAATGAACAATTTACGCTCTAAGAAGTGCTTTGTTTAAATACCACAGAAAATGAGTTGTTAAAACATAACCTCTTCCTTTCAGGCTCGAGGCCCGAAGAAGCACTTGAAGCGTCTCAATGCTCCGAAAGCATGGATGTTAGATAAGTTGGGCGGTGTCTTTGCGCCAAGACCGTCGACGGGACCACATAAACTACGAGAATGTCTCCCACTCGTTATATTTCTACGGAATAGATTGAAGTACGCCTTAACTAACTGCGAGGTAACGAAGATAGTTATGCAAAGATTAATTAAAGTGGACGGGAAAGTGCGAACTGACACTAATTATCCTGCAGGATTCATGGGTAAGTTTGCAAAATGAAGTGTTTGTTAGGTGCTAACATCATTTTTAGATGTCATTACTATTGAAAAGACTGGTGAAAACTTCCGATTGATTTATGATGTCAAGGGACGATTTGCCATTCATCGCATTACGCCTGAGGAAGCTAAGGTGGGTGACAACTCAGCTGTGTACGGAATGACGATAATAATAGCGGCACCAAAGGTTGAGAATCAATGGAGTTCTCCCTGTTCGTTTGATGTTGCCAATGAAAAATTCTTACTCATCTGATCGTACAATTGCTATGGCAATTTCAAAGCTGTAACGTGTATCTTTGCGCTGTTACAGACGTTACTTGCCTACAGTAACTTCTGTTTTTGGTCATCAATTAGTGATAAATCATTAATCGATAATACCCAAACAGAATACACCAATTTTCCGATATTGAAATTATTTAACCGCATTTTATTTCAGTACAAGCTGTGCAAAGTAAAGCGTGTACAAAAAGGTCCGCGAGGAATTCCATTCATCGTGACTCATGATGGACGAACCATCCGTTACCCAGATCCAGCAATTAAAGTGCACGATACCATTCAGCTCGAAATTGCAACATGCAAAATCCTCGATAATATCAAATTTGAAACTGGAAACGTGTGCATGATTACTGGAGGTCGTAACTTGGGGCGTGTCGGTACAGTGGTTAACAGGGAACGTCATCCTGGTTCCTTTGACATTGTACACGTGAAGGACGCCAACGAACATACTTTTGCCACCAGGTGAGTGTGAGAATTATAATTTTTCCGGGCTATATCGAAGCTGTGATTTATGTTTCTATGATAAATTGTAGTCAAAAGTTAGCCCATAGCAATGTATCTGTTTTTAAGGTCACTGATGAGCCACAAATGCTTAATTCAGTATTACCCAATCAGAGAACAATATTTTTTATTATCCATGTAAGAATTCTAACTGTTATTTGTTTTAGATTGCATAACGTCTTCATCATTGGTAAAGGTACGAAACCGTACGTTTCCTTGCCTAAAGGCAAAGGAATTAAGTTGTCTATTGCTGAAGAGAGAGACAAGCGGTTAGCGGCAAAGGCACAATGATGTATTTAAATTTACATATTTTACAATAAAAACTATTAAGGATGTGTTTTTGTTTTTGTGTTGAATGCTAGGGCAAGTCAAGAAATTTTTTAAATCCATTGTTTTGTGTTTGGTACTGAAAATCAATAACACATCATTTATCTTGTCCTATGCGTTTATCATTATTTAATATTATTTTCAAAAATTTCAAATTTTATATAAATTTCTCCAGTTATGTTTAATAAACAGTTGCGCAGCGGTGAGGGGGTGGAGGGCACTTATTAGGGGTAGAAACGTCATACCTAACAATATCGAAAGGCGCTTTTGATTTCAATTTTTTGATAATTGTAAAATTCTGAGTTTATTGCTGTGCTCATTTGTAATTGTTTGTTGTGGGAAATTGGAGAAATTGAGGAAATTATAAATTAGAATTATAACTATAAATCTATTTATATTTCGACATAAAGAAATTACCATTGACATCCCTATGGTGCGTAAACCGTTTCTACACTCACCCTGTATATGTCTACTTTTAAATGAGAAAATGTCTTCTGAATGGTTTCTAATTTAACAAACTACACAATTCAAAAAGAATGAACTAAATATGTATATTGAAAATTGTAGTAGTTGCGGCCTCGGACGGACGGAGAAAGTGGGGCCGTAATAGCGCCTTCCAACATAAGTCCCGTACTAAAGTTCACACTAAGGTTTTCCTGTCCAAAGATCACGAGGGCAACTAATAAAGTACGGATCTGTGTAAAATATTCGACAGATGATAGAATCGAATCCTGTAAAATCGGTTAAGCTTAAGGTAAGGTAAGGTTCTTAACCGAACTAATTGACATGAAAGAAGTACAGATTTGTTTACTCTAAAATGTGGAAAAAAAACTTGTCGATTTTGTTATTATTACGAAAATGGAAGACTGGTTAAAGGAAGAGCAAGTAACCGAAAGCGAAAATTTCGATGGCATTCTAGTAACGCACGATTTAGAGGATTGCATTGACGATAGTTTGGAGTATTCCTCATTTAACAAGGTTTACGAGGAACTGCCCCTAAGTAACTTAAGATCTGATAATGAAAATGATCAAACAACGGCATTTGCGGAAAAACGGGAATATGATGAAAGTTTTGTGTAAGTATTAAATTTTTCTTACCAAATTTAGACATGTCACATTTTCGGTTCGAGTCTTCGATTAGATATTTTTTAAATTTCATTTTATTCGAAATTTGAATATATATAACATTGCATAATAAATTATAGTACTAGGTATGTAATGCTAGAAATAAATATTAAATATTTGGCTTCTGATTTTGTATGGAATGTGAAGGGGGGAGACTGGAAAATACAAGTATCGCAGGGGCGGTATGCAAGGAATACCCAAACAAATGAATCTTTTACTTACGCTTTTAGTATCATGGCAGTCATTGCAAATCGTACTAGTGGAATTGGGATTTTGCGAGTGAGGAGTGGTTTTATTCCTCATGGTATGGCACTCTTCCTCGAGCCCTTATTGAGATTCTTGAAAATTCTGTGTATCTCGAGAAAGTAGTGTCAGGGGTACTTTCAAAGAGCTATTGGAATGTCTGGAAGAAACATACCGATTGGTGATGTGCAGATATCTTGAAAACTGTGTGTCAGATGAGGTTACTGACAAAGGCAAAATGAATTGTTTGGACGAGGCATACCTGGAAAATGGGGTGTTGGAAGAAGGTACCTATACCTACCTACAAAGAGAAAATGAAATGTTGCAGAGAATTTCTCTTAAGAGCTCACCCACTTTCCTCTTAATGTTTAACTTTAATGCATGAAAAAGTTAACTTCGATCTTGTTTAGAGTATCATTATTGATGTATCTGTGTAAAACTGTTTTCTCTGGTGGTAATTCTAAGTATAGTCAACTGGCCATTTTGGAGCCCACTGACCGTTCAAATCTGTGCACAAAACTCTGTGTACAGGGGACCGGTGTAAGGTCTTACCTTATGCATTAATAAACGTTAAAAAAATCAATGGTTTTTATTTAAATGATAAGACAACACATGTAGGACATGTAATAGGAATTTTTTCAAATGATTCACAAGGGTCTTGAGATGACGATTTTTCTGACTGTGATTATGAATAATAATTTTAATAAATGCTAATTATTGATAATTAATTATTTCATAATAAATTAGTTGATTATTATTTTCCTTGAGGCTTTATGGTATTATATGGGTAACAACTTATTAATTTGTGCTCTTGACAACAGAATAAAGGAATCTGTTCTTTTGTCAAAATTGGTGTATAAATAACGACTTTAGTATACTAATTAAATTGCGAATTTTGTTTTAGCTATATCAACCAGTCATTACAGCAAGATGGAGTCTATATGCATACAAATCAAGACACATCGGATGAAATGCAAGACTGCACCGCTCTGACAACATCAAACAACGAATCTTACTCAAAAGATGGCCAGTTTAATCGATATTCCTGCGAATATGGTGGCTGTGTTCGAACATATAGCACAGTTGGAAATCTTCGTACTCATATGAAAACCCACAAAGGTTAGCATAAATGGTTATTTGCATCTACAGTTTGGAAATAATTGCAAAATTCTTGTGATGGATTTTCCTTGCATGCAATTAATTATAAATGATGGTACATTATGGCCATATGTGACTTACAGTTAATAAGTATGTGAGATAGGTGAGAAAATGTGTTGCATGCTGCCATTCTCTTTTACCAAGTATCGTCATTCTATTGAGCGTAACTTATAGGATATGAAAGAAATGAGTATTTTCTTTTGTTGTTAATTGAAAGGTATAAACCTCGGTATAAACGGTAACATTATGAGGATGTTCAAATGAAATTAAGGTTGTTAAAATTTTTGCTCGTTTTTTGTACTTATACAGTTCTATGATTCTTGTGAATACTAATTTTACATTGTGTTATTAATAGGTGATCAAATAACGCACGCTCGATCGAAACACTGAATAATTTATCTAGTATACTGTATCTATTTATGTTTACATTGCTAAAAACATTACATTATAACATCAAGTTCGGGCCGTTCTTAATTGATCACTTGTTATTTATGCATAGGATTCTGATTTAATAAAACCTTGCCATTTCTGCTCTTGCCTGCATAGGATAATTTTGGGTAAGTTTGTGTGTTTTTCTCTTGCTTGGTCATATGTGTTTTTTAGCGTTTAGCATGGTGATCTCGGAAACCTTTTTTTTAGTGAGAAAGTGGGGGTTTCATTTAAAATGTAATGGATTACCATTTTTCCCATGTCACTTTCTCTGAGATCCTAAATAAACTTTGAAAAACTCACCCTGTATTTAAATGTAGAAAGGATGATTCTGTTGGTAACTTTGACTATTGTTTGTTTTATTCTGCGTAATTTGTACACACTGAAAATATTCCAATTTTTCTCAGAGGTACTTGAATAGTTTCTTGACTAGAGGCATGATTCTAAATTAAATTCCATTGCTGCAGAGAACTGATAATAGTCACCCAAATTTTGCCTAATTCAGCTTAAGACTTTGAAAATTAGATGGGGGTGCTGGATAACATTACAACAAAGAAAAACAATAGGAGGGAACAGTAAGATAATAAGGCGGTAAGACTGTCCAGCTACTCCTAATCTCGAAAGGACAACAGAAGAGTAGAGAGGAAGCAAGAACAAAGAAAGGAGATAAAATGTGGACGTCGTGAAAAATTGAGAGACAGTGAGAAGAAGTTTTTAAGGTTTTCCAAGAATCTTAAACTCAACCACTTCAAAAACACCATTTCCATTTCAACATACACTATTATTATTATTATTTATTAGTTTTTGTGCTTTTTCATTCAAAAATTTAAGTAGAGCGTTATTGGTACAGCTTTCAAGATCAGCTTGTCCATAATAAATAATTGCCTAGGACATCACGGTTCATCATTATTTTAGTAATCATTTTGGGTTGCTTCTAATCGACTATGTGTGAAGTTGTAAACAAACATAATAAAACCCGACACTACTTTCAGGAGAATACAAATTCAAGTGCACTGAACCAAATTGCGGCAAGGCTTTTCTTACTTCGTACAGTTTAAAAATTCATATTCGCGTTCATACCAAGGTTAAACCGTTCGAATGTAACCACAAAGGATGCGCGAAAGCATTCAATACTTTGTACCGACTGCGGGCTCATCAAAGGTTACACAATGGTACGACATTCAACTGTGAATCGAAAGGATGCATGAAGTTCTTCACGACTCTAAGTGACCTAAAGAAACACATCCGCACTCACACACGTGAAAGGCCGTATAAGTGAGTTTATATTAACCAATTCTTGCATGGGTTTACCTTTGTGAATTTGTGCGCTTTTGGTGGTATTTAATTTTGCTTTTTTAGGAAAAAGGTATTGTCGATATATTTTTCAGTAGTTAACAGAAAGCCGAAATTTTGTACTTGTTTAACATGAATCCGAAAGTACGAAATGTAATAATATATTGCTTAGAATATTTTCGTATGGCAGAGCTATTTGTGAATAGCAAGAGTACAGACACAAACTCATCGCATCGTTTTTCTTTGTTTATTTAGGTATTAGACTAGAGCAGATTAGAGTTTGAGGCTTAGTAAAAAAATCACTATTGTACAGATTTCAATGGGCGTTCAAGAGGGGACCTGTTGATCCTGTAGCTTATTTCTAAGCTTGCTGCTCTGCATTTAGAGCCTCCTTATAAATATACATCCATTCCATCGAATGGCATTATTTTTATTTTGGAATCTTTATTAACATATTCGCAAATTTATTTTAGTTGAATTGTTTTAACGTGCATGATTGTTACGGTATTATTATTACAATTATTTCACTTTTTGTAAAACAATGTTTAATTTGTGGTTTATGCTGTCCAGAAAAAATTAAATAAGGAAAGCAAATTTTGTCATTTGAACTATAAACAACGTAACTGGAAGGGAAACCAGTATAGTCGACAAATGCGTATCGTTGAAGCGGTGCGACAGAATGAGGTGGTGGTATAACTATTTCACTCACACAATTTAATGTTACTAGTACTAGTACTGCCACTTGTCTGGCTTTACTAATAATATGTTTGTTTCCCTTCCAGTTATGAGTATATACTTCAATGTTTGGGAATGTTGTTTCCAAGGGAACCATTTTGGACACCTGGTTCATTTGGGAAACATTTTTTGTATTGGTCTTTACTCCAATTTTTTGGATGTAGTATATCTGTGGCTATAATTTGCGTTAGTTAATTAAAAAACATCTTTTAGAATACAACATTCATATTTGTTTACAGGTTTATGGTGTCTGTGTATATTTAGTTTAGCGGGTTTATCCAGGGCTCTTCAGTTTGCTAAAGAATTGCTTTAAAACACCGAACAGTGTAATGCATTTTGATTTCATTTGCGTTCACATTAATGCAAATAATTATCGCTTCCTTCAGTATGAATAACACTCATTACTTGTTTAGAACAATATTATTATTAACCCTTTTGTTCACTTGTAAAGTAGGCTTTCACAGCAGAAATCTGTTACTTCTAGACCATATATTTTCCATAGATAGGTATAACGTACAGCCACTAAACCTGTGACAGGGATAGCCAACAGTAGAATACCGATCATGCGCACTGGTTTGACATTCCTGGCATTTCACTGGCGTGTTATTTCCGTATAAGGTTTATGGTGTTGTAGTTCACACCAGGCGCATTTGAAATTATTACTCGTTTTGTGGATTAAAACATGTGTTTTAAAACTGGGTTTGTACTTTGTGACAAAATCACACTGGTCACATTTAAAACTTGGCAGGTCCAAATTTTAACAAATGCTAGATGTTAAGATGTGTTTTAAGACTGGATTTGTTTGGTGACGAAATCGCATTGAGCATATTTGCTGATCTTGTGTTAAAGAATGTGTTTTATAATTAGATTAGACACACTGGACACATTTTAAATTCTTGGTAGTCTCGTCTGTTAAAATGCTATTTTATTATATTATATTATTATATTTATTTAGTATTTTCAGCAACTTCAGATTCCCAGAATTTTAGAATCTCCTTAGCATCTTTTCAGAATGCCTATAGAACCACAAGCAGACCCGGCGTACTTCGTACCGCCTTTGGGAATACTTGTTTTCTGTGCCGCTTCACCTCGCACGCTCGGCGGACTTCATACCGCCTATCAGTTAATGTTTCATTGGATGGGATATACGCTCGGTTTCGCAGACTCGACGAATTATATAACCACCTAGCGGTATGAAATATACTTTATGACCTATTTTCATACCTAACAAATATACAAAAATAGTACATCAAAATTGGTCAAGCCGTTTTGCAGGAGTGCGACCACAAACACAGTGACATAAGATTTTTACTTTGCTGTATGCAATGCGGTCACTACGTCACCCACAAAACACCTGGCAAGCTAGTTCAAATCAAATCGACCTTTAAATTTAGAATTGTAATTATTTCGTCATAGGCGTCAGGCATCTGACATGAAAAACTATGCGGGTCGCACAATGGGTTCGAATCGAAACACACAATGACAAAAATTTATTGTTAAAACAAAATCCCTGAAAGAAAGAAAAGTTTACAAAGCTTTTTTGCGCATTTTACTTCGCACGCATGTGGTCGACAAATAAAATATTTTAAAACTTAACAGTTTTTTAAGATAAATTCAAATAATCTGATCGTACGAGCTTTGCGATATTTAGGCGCACTGCTTACTTTTTCAACTTGACACTTTTTCCGTGAATGGACAACACGTCACACCACTTTAGTTAACTTGCTTCCGCACAAATTTATTATAAAAATGATGAACTGCATCTTCAACTCGACAAATGGGGCTGACTGTCCGAGATTTAGCATAAAAAAAGGACAACCGTCGCGAAACTAGCAGCCTCCTCGTTTTCTCGTTGTCTTCAGTATTTAAAGAAACACCACTTCCATTATAAAATAAAATCCGTCTAAGAAATAAACGCGCTAAACGTGATCTTACACGCACTCGAACCTTTGATACAATTCTTTTATGAGATTCAAATTTTTCCAGCACATTTTTCATTATCAAACGAAGCTTGGAATTTTCTTAAAATCCATGTAGGATTTCCTCAAAGTATTTGTAGATTCTTCTCTTTAGGACCTTGAAATCTTGAGTCTTTCTATAGTCCCCTTAGAGTCCTTAGACCATTCTTTTAGAGCCTTTAGAAACTGTAGAATGTTCAGGATCTTGGAATTTTTTTAGAATATTATTGTAATTCCTGTAGAACATAATCTTTTTACAATCTTCTTGGAGCAGGAATCTCCTCAAAAACAGAAATAAAATGAGGCAGACTGAGAGCCTATCATTTGTAAATTTTATGTTCAGTGATAAAAATTCCTTATACGGCTTATAGCAAACAAAAAGTTACTTTCTCACTTTCCACCTTGATAATGGTATTATGCATATTTTAAAGCGGATATGGTTATAATCCACTCCTCAAATGCATTGTATTGCTTTCGAGCTTGGCATTTGGTTAAAAAAAATGTGAAAATGTAGTATTAACCATCAGTACTGTTTGTTTTGTACGGCTTATCACGCTTCATTATTACATTGTTGTATGCTTTAATTTGGTCCATGAGGACAGTTGATAGAGGTAATTTTTTGGGTGACTCAATGGACATGTATTACAATAACTGCAGTTGTGTAAACAGTACTGTGATGATTGTTTTTTTTATTATAGATGTATTGAAGAAGGTTGTGGTAAAGCGTTCACAGCGAGCCATCATTTGAAAACTCATCGCAGAATCCACAGCGGCGAAAAACCGTTCATTTGCGTAGAAGATAATTGCAAACGCGCATTTTCAACCCAGCATAGTCTCAAATCACACATCAAAACGCATCAACGCATGATAGACCAAGACAATGAGTTGAATAATAACCTTAGTCAAGATAAGGAAGCCGTATTAATTAAGAGTGACATTAGTGAGGAAAATGCTCCAATTAAATTTAATGATAAGGAATGCGAGAATAATGATAAGAGTTACATTGTTGACTTTGAAGGCAACATTATCTTTCAGAACGATTTGGTCAGTAACGTTGATGTTAGATGGAAAGGTTTGGAGGATGGAGTAAATTCTTTATCAGGTAAATTAAATCTGTTGGGAGAGGAACTAAAGTTTCTTTTAGATTTACAAGCGATGGATAGTGGAGATACGAAGGGAGATGCAGAGATAATATTGCCATCTGACAATGCTGACGAGTTTCATACATTCAACAGTAATACCGAGAACAGTATTGAGTTTATCTCACACGATTTTAACCAGCCGAAATTTGCCGAAGTACAATTGGATATGTCCACTTACGAAGTCGCCAATAACTTAAAACACTATGCAACCGTGAATACGGCCGAACCAATACCGATTCAGCTTTCCTATAACATTGGAAGCGAAAATATTGAGGACAGTAAAGAAGGTGAAACATTAGAAGACACCGAAGTCAGTTTAGAGGAAAATTCGATCATCACAGAAATCGAAAACGCCAGCTTGGATTTATATGACATAGAGCTAAATGATAAATCATCTTCCGGTAATACGGAATTAAATAGTTTCGCTGTCAATGATATCTTCAATGAGGGATCAGTATTTCAAAATAGTATTGTTTGTAAAAATGATAATCCAAATGTAAATATTATAAGCGTAAAAACAATTCGTCCACCCAATACTGTGGCGCCTGCCAGTGACAACTTGTTGGCGTTAGATAAAAATTCGGTAGATCTAAATGGTCAAATTTACACCCCTGAAGCTTTAGAAATGTCTCTAGCGTGCGAGGAAGAAAGTCCCTCTACTTGGATTGATGTTATGAGTTTGGTTAACAACAGTCCCATAAACGTCTTTGAGCATTCTGCAGTCGACGAAAATCAGGCAGTTCTTACGGGTATTCAGTCGTATACTAACTTAGATGATGCACCATTGTTTAGTTCTGCAAACGTCGGCATAGACAATCCAAGTAGGTTAGCTGATCAAACTGCACGTGGCAACAGTGTCAAGGTAAACATTTTAAAAGAGGTAACTGCCGCTGTTGATATTTGCAAATGTGAAGACTGTAAGTGTGGTCCTTATGGTAATTGTGACACTACCAATGGAAATGTACCAGAAAGTAATGGTTGTTGTGCATCTAAACAGGTAGATAATTTTAGTTGCGGCAACGAGGCTGAGTCAATGACAAGTCTTGGTGGCGATCTAAGCAGTGACTGCATTGAAAGTAATTGCTGTGTGGTTGTTTGTCTCAAATCTTTAGAGCAGCTTAAGCAGTTGTTGCGATTAGCAAATGACTGTGGCAATTTACAACAGCTATCCATCGGGTGCGTTCGAGGTACTTGTGCAATACAAAATCACTAAATGTGATCGTTTGATGTGAATTAGTTTACTAATATGCAATTTTAGCAAATACCATGACATTGGGTATTTTTGATATTTATTTACGTATTGACACCTTTATTGTGGTTTTCAGTTGTCTTCAGCCTTTGATTTGAAATTTGCTAGTTTTCTTTGTGTTATACAGAACACTAAGCCTAGCTTAATCGGAGTGGACATTGGCATGCGGTTGAGTAATTACTCACATGTAACTGCCACCATATTGGTGTAGTTTCCTTAGGGCAGGTGTATGGGTGATTCCAGCGATAAGTAAATATACTTAAATATCCCATTTACAATTATCAACATAAATACTACACAACACATATCTCAGGTCCATATGATTAATTAGACTTAATTTTCATGTTTAACTTGTATTTAGAACAATTTAACTAGTCATGTTAGCATAAGATTCAAATCAAATATCAAAGAACAACTAAGAACCACAATTACTTTTCCAATGTGAGATTTTTATTATTAACATGTTGTTTTTAATAACGGTAAGATTAGATAATGATTCAACTGATCCCCTTCAGTTACTAAACAATAATAATTTTTTTATTGTTGAGACTGAGGAATTTTTAAGTTATAATTGTGTTTGTACTAGTCAATATGTTAATTGAGATAATACTTAACAATTTAATACTGTTCTATTGACAGTATTTGTGTTACAATTACCTATGTTGTTTTCTAATATTTTGTAACTTAGTTGTTTTTTTTATTGTACCTGACCAAAGATTAAATGGTGTGATTACATTTGTGTTTTTATTTATTCCTAGCATTAACCTTTCAGTAAAAGTAAATAGGGCATGTTAGGTTTATGATCGATTACAGTAAGATATTGCAAACTGGAAAGATACAATCTTTGTTGAATGAAGGAATGTTGATAACTGTGATTGATATTTAGGGTTAAAGCCACGCCTTGTTTTCTTTTTTGATTTGATTATATATTAGCAAGAGGCCACGAGGACTTTGATAATTTTTTTTCAAAAATCCTCAAAAAATCCTAATATACATATAATTTGGACAAAATCCATCGAGCTGTTACCACAGGGTGCCCTATGAATAAAGGTCACATATGTCATATCTATGGAACCAGGTTAATTGCATCTTAGGGAAAAAGATTTTGATAACAAAAGCGGCCAAGAGAAATAACTGGAAATTCTTTTCAAGTTTCTAGGTTTTTCGCTAGAGGGCGTAAGATATGTTAAGTAGAAAATTGATTTTTGTTCTAAAATAGGTATACCCAACGCTCGCTAGTCAACTTCTCCTATCGCCAGTAAAAACTCACTTACCTGGCTAATAATGTAAAATACTATAAATGGGGAAAAATTTTAACTAAATTGGTTTCGATGATTTGAGCCCCAGAGGGAGGAATCCGCGATGAAATCTGATGTGTAAGTAAACGAGGCATGGATTTGGAATCTGTTGCATAAAAAGTTCATTTACGTCTTCTAGTCAGTGATAATCACGTAATTTAGTAAGTATAAGTAGGTACCTATACAATAAGTAATAATATTTTCCGGCCCGTGTGTCGCAGCTCAATAAATCTGGACTGTGGTGCTAAGGGCCCCTGGTTCGAATCCGGGTTCGGGCATGGATATTTGTAAATGTATAGCTATAGTGGGTTGGGTTGGTAGAGCAGCCTTGGCTGAACGCCCATTAAAAAATAAAGGCAAAATAAAATAAATACCCCCTGTGGGTTCGGGGATAGAATTGGCCCACTCCCGTCCTGGAGATCGTAAAAGGCGATCAATGGGCACTAAAGGTGGCGAGTCCAAGCGCCTTTAGTACCCACTTACCTACCCAATTTTATCTTCAACTCCGACACCAATCATCCTAGGCACCTTTTGTTCACACGACCCTCATAGAACGGAAAAAAGGCCTTGGCCCGCTGGTAGTAGCGGTAAAATGCGAATGAATCCCTCAACTTAGGGCGACGCCGGCGACAAGGAGAATACTGTGCCGCGATTCTTGGTCGTGAAATGCAAGGAACGTGATTTTACCAAGTTCCTTTCTGATTAATAAAATGTTGTACAGTGTGTTAAGAATTTTAAGGAATATAAAAAAGGTAGTTACACAAAAAAAATCCAGGACCATTGTTTAATCCTAGTATTAAGACATTTGATTGACTTTATACTGCAGTATGCAGCCAATCAAATGTCAAAAATTTTGTTTATGCTCAGATTTGACAAATAATGTAGGATTTTGATTATAATTCGCATTCCTGCAACTGGCCGTAATAGAAACTGTGTCGATTAACTCGAAACTGTTGCATCGATGAAAATATAAAAGAAAACCTTAAAGATCAGGGAGTAGTGGATGCGGGAAGAATAAAAACACGGCGCGATGAAGAGTTTTTTAGATACTTCAAATCATGTTCTTACTTTCAATGTCTCGTGATTACCTAATGACTTTCATGACAAATTCGTGCTCAAGGCCTTACCGGGTTTCTTGTAGAGCTGAATTCAAAAACTCTCCACGACCCCCTTTCATCTAGTCAACGTAGGAGGTGCCACCATTAATAAATGGGTTTCGGATTGTGATATAGGTAAAAAAGATAAGTAATTAAATTAAAACATATAGCATAACCTAAAAAGAAACATATTAACCAAATAAGGAATCCTATAAAAATACCTTTACCTGGAAAACATACAACACCAGCATTTAAGTAAATACGCTTAGATAAATAACGTAGACAATTTTAGCTTGGCGCTTCTGGAATTTTCCACTTCGGATATCAACATCTTTTGCAAAACAAGAATCTGTCATTTCAACGACAAAAACAAAAGCAAAAGTGATATCCCCAGTTGTACCAAACACACTCCTAACATACTGCATCTCTCGTAACATTTAAATTATGTGCGTGCCGAATTATGTATGTTCACCTCGGATTGCAATACGTTTTTATATAGCGGTATTAGTTTCAAAGTACCGTTAAAAGATGCACACTTTATTGAAATAACAAGTTAAAAAAATTATATTAATGTGATAAAAGATTTGCACCAGTTGTGTTCGCATAAGATGGCGGCAATTTCCGGTCCCGTGAGTAAGTTTAATTATATAAGGGCAATTTGTACTCAAAATAGGAAGACTGTATGTTGACAACCATAATCGGTGTATAGTGTACAGTTAATTAGCTCTCAATGAATATTAAAATCAATAGCTAGCTCTTTAATCTTGACGAATTTATTCGATCATCCACCGCGTATCTCCCACCTAGTACTTTAGTGGTACTTAAACATGCCGGTCTTGGCGGGTAATCCTTATTACTGAGGAAAGTGGCGACGTTATTTATTAATTTGTCTTCATCTGATCGTTTACGTCTGATCATTTTTGAGCATCATACGGTTTTCGACTTCGCCTTCATCATCGCCTTTGAGGTCAGTTTAACTTTTACAAACTGAAATGTGCCTTCTACGGTTCCTTGGATTTCCTTCAGTACACATTCTCTTAGTCTAATTAACAGTGCCAGCATATAAACCTAAATAAACCTAATGAGTAATTAATAATAACTATCCATTGGGGCTATTTACCCAGTATGTGTTTTACAAATAACCCTAAAGAATAGTATATTAAGATACAAGTGTATAATCAAGTCTTTAAAGCACGCGCAACGAGTTTAAGGGCACGACGCAAAGCGGAGTGCCTTTAACGTTGCAAGTGCTTTAAAGACCAATTATACACGTGTATCTTATAGTATTTTTTATTATACCTGCAGTATAATTTAAAAATAGGAAATAGGTACAATGAAGTCATATTGACGTTATACTCGAATGCATGTCTAATTAAGTGGGCTGGGTGTTCGTAATTTCACGATTGCCATGGAAATGTCACTTGACGTTTGCTTATAAAAATCATCGTCTTTGTGAATTAAACGATTTCCGTTGAAAAACATAATACACCGTCCATTAAATCGATTGTTGTAAAATCTAAACAAACGTTGGTAGGTGTAAAATCCAACTCCAGTAAAGCCTATTATAAAGAATATGAAAAGTTGTTTCCATGGATGAATAGGAAGTTATTTACGAATACAGTCTTAAATGCATCCATAATGCTGGCATATATGAAGGAAATGTCAAAGGTATTTAAATCTTCTATATTTTGGTGCATTCATTAAAAACTTTAAAGCAATGCTGCGATTAAAAAGTGGAACAGATTTGGAAGCATACCCTAAATTACGCGCGTTTGTAAAAGCTTCAACCAAAGGATAGGTACAAAAGCCAAAGAAATGTTCTGCATTTACAGAAAGCGACCTAAGAGGATTTTTTATTTCATCCAGATGACAGTTTCAAAAGTCATACTTGGAGTATCGTTACTTAGCAACTTTAAAGCACGTGTGTTTTAAAGGCCCTTTTTCGCACGCATTTGAGTGTTTAAAACGGAGATTGTGATTCAGGTATAATAAAAAATCCTTTATTAGACATATGTATGTAAGTTACATGGCATATCTACTTACATTACATAGCTATGCCCAAGTTTAAAAACAAAATTAGGACTATTTTATTGTCGAAAGCTTTTTATACGTTTGATGAGTTTGTGAATAACTCTAAATGTCTTTAGTTTCTTTTTATTCTATGAAAGTAAACCTAAATGTTTTTGTGTTAGTTTAGAATTATGTACGACAAGTGTAAGTGTAAACACACAGTAGCACAATATATCATATTATTATTATAGCTACTTTTTAATTTGTCCCTTTATTTTAGCGATACTATACATATTATTCAAATGCATTATGTACGGGAACACGTTTATACAATTTTAAAACTTTCTTTTAACTTATCTCTTACCTATAGCTACTGCCAATAAAATTGTGCCCTCCTTCGGTATTGCAATTACGCGTGTAGTAAAGATCGGCTCCTTTAAAATCCTTGTTAGCGTGAGGTAGGTATGGTATAACTAACGACAGATCAAAACCTCGATGCCGAACCCAATAAAGTTGGATGAAGGAAGAGTAGGATTGTTCGCCGGCTTTGCCCACCTCTTGCATAAAGTCATGAGTTCATCTCGTTTGATTGAAATCCTCTCTTATTCTTGTTTTCTATTTGAAAAACCTCACCCCTTGAAGCTTCATTGTTTTAGCGGCCTCATGCATACTTCATGTTCTCTTAGACTGTGACGCATTTCCTATAGGTTTTAAACTTTAGATAAATTTACTTAAATTCCTTGTGAAAAAAGGAGAATTACGGTGACAAGTGAATGGGACATTTTCGTTTTAGGAAGCAAACGATTAACATCGTGCATTATTCTGTACGCCCGACTTGGCAATACGTACCTATATAGGGTATAAATCTTTCAAATAACAGTCTCTATATTATAGTAATTAATCGGGTACCTACAAGAAGCAAAGACGTAATCAAACAAATCCTAAAAGTTATTGAAAATTGAAAATTTACTTTACAACGTTTAGTGAGAAAAGGGGGTTAACATAACTTTGTTTTGTTTTTAATTGCTTAAATTGTCTTACAGGATTTGGTTTCACAACGAAAGTCGCGAACAATTTTAAAATTTTGGCCCTTTATTAGTACAGGGATTTCCATTACATTTGAAACACAAATATGATCACCATAGAGAATTATAATTTGACAAAAATTCTAATAAAATGCATTAGCAAGAACTTCGCAATTTATAGAACTAAAAAATAGCCTGTTAAAGGACACTACACTTTCTACAAGAAATGTTCAATGTTATCATGAGGGAAGAAATAGATAAGTGACTTACCTTCTGGGTTCAGCAAATATGATATCAATTCTTTT